GTCGCTGCCAATGGCCGAGGAGGTGACTTTGGAGCCGCCGGCATAAGGACAATTTCCGGAGATTCGGCCGCAGGGTGAACTACTCATCGAGGAGGAGGGTCGGGAATAGGAGTATCCTCCGTATCCTCGACTCCTGTCGCTTTCGTCCTCATCGGTGGCAAAGTAATAGCCACGTCCGGAATTATCAAAACCGGATTGACCCCTGATGATCCGTTTAAGGTTGTTGGCCCAGCGGAAGCGGAAGCGGTTGTCAACGGGGCGGATACGGGTTTTTCGGGCGGAAAATAATGAGTGCAGTGGCAGTTTTTGGAGTGCATTACGGATTTGGTTTGGATTGGTTTAATTGGCCAGCCGTGGAGCATCCGCAGTGTCCACAGTGTAGTTGTTGTTGTGTGGTGTATTGTTCATGTTGTTGTTGTACAAGTATGGTTGTTTTGCGTGTTGTTCAGTTGTTTGTATGAAAGTAGAGAGTAAAACGAAAAGAACTCAGAGATAGAAAGCCGACAATGCAGAGATAGCTGACAACATAAATATAAACAACATATATACACAAAAGAGTGCGACGATACCTGTAGGTCTCATCCCAAGGGCGATAGTTGCGAAAATCATACCTGGAGTAGTAGCGATCGTACGGATCGTAGCGCTCATAGCCGCCGGACCTGGAGCGATCGTAGTAGCGGTCTGAAATCAAAGTATAATCATTAATGGATATATTATTCCAAAAATAACAAAACTTCATTTCATTGAAACATTTTATTATGAAAATAATTTACTTTTAGAAAGGGATAACTAAACGTACCTCTTGAAGACCCCTCGCTATAGCGATCACCACCATAGTAACGATCCCTGTTGTCGTAACCATAACCTCGCTCCCGATCATAGGATCCTCCATACCCGGATCCCCTTCTGTAATCTTCATAGCCACGACCCTCGTACCGATCGTAGGTCCTAGGGGTATACCGATCGTCGTAATAACGAGATCGATCGGAGTACCGGTCGTAATCCCGATCCCTGCTGCTGCTGCCACGATCATCATAACCGGAATAGTACCAGGCACTGCTGCCGCGCATATCGTCGCCCGTTCGACTGGAATATCCGCCATAGTACCGATCCCTTTCCCGATCCTCGTAGCATCTCACGCAGCGTGACTGGCGGCTCTTTCCTCGGAGCACGGAGTCAAGGATTCCAACGCTCGCGGTGGCCAGCTGCTGATCCTTGGAGCTCACACTTGAACGAGCTTCAGGTCCTGTCACTGCTGACTGGACACAGACGAGCAGGGTCAGGCAGGATAACTGGAAAAAGGATAATTATAACAACAAATATAAGTATCAGTTAGTCATAATAAACACTTTAAACATAACCACAGTGTTTTGGGATTTTCAAGAACGTGATTCAAGTCTAAGCAAAGTTTCTCATAATGATACAAACAGTTGTGGTTTCTTATATCTCAATTGTATTCACTATTTGGGTTTGTTATTCATAATAATTTAATTAACATATTACTATTGCAAATGACTATGACTAACTAGTTATTGCATTTCATCTCCAATCAATTCTAAAGCATTATATCATGAATAACATTTATTCACGATGAATAGGGTGGTGATAGAGCGGTGATATCATTCCATAGAAGATTTAGAAAAAAGAGCACATTGTTCTAAAGGTTAATTGTATAAATAAATTGGGTCTTAAAATGTCAACCACTTTGATTTATTTGGCTTCAAACTCAGTGATCTAGTTCTAGCAATAGATAACATCCCTTAAAAGCATTCAATTAAACATACATATACATGGTCCATAGGTGATATTCTATTCGCTGTATGAAAAGCGCGATCGTCATTACTTGATTGGCTTTAATTGCCGCTGAGTACGGGGCCTATCGCAATCGACTAAGCCGGGGAATCAGCCAGCCAATACATATCTCACGGTTCAGGGGCCAACTGGGCCAAAACCCAGAGCCACCATGGCAGCCTCCGATCGTAATTGAGGCGCCCTCCGCCCACAGATGAACACCAGCAAAATGGACGACAACGCCGTGTGGCCAGTCGGCGTGAAATATGATCAGCTACCCCAGCGATTATGCAATGGGTTTTGGGCCAGGCCAGATGCTTCTGGCCCCTGCACCAAGTACTCGGGGTGGGCCTCATAGCATTGACATCATTTTGTGGGCCCCACTCATGGCTGCATGAATCAGATTTGGATTCGGAATCGGAATCATAACTCCACTGGCATTTGTTAAAGCCGAAAAAAATATATGAGAATGACCAGCCCAAGCTGAGTTAATCATGGAAAATATTTTGCTAGCTGGCCGCCACGCTTTGTTAGCCAAGCATCAGGAACAACTTCCGGCCGGGTCGATGGTGTTGGCTTTGGCATGTGGGGAATGGATCGACGCGACTTGTCACTGACTCTGGCCAACTTCATTAGAATAATTATATTTCGAGCGAGTACCATATGAATGTGGTAAATTGTTTTGCTGAGAACGGGTCGTTGCCATCGAAAACTTATGAATGGGGCAGTATTGGATTTGGTCTTTTTGGTACAGCCAAATTTACATAACATAATCGTAATATTTCGGGGGTTGCATAATGTGTTCTACGAATGTTACATAACACCATTTCGGGGTCACTTTTGGAGAATCCCACGGGTAAACAAAGATGGAATACCAGGGAGGATGTACTTCCATTCAAGACAGAATGTCCTTGCTTAACTTTTGTTCTATAAACTTTCTTTTGATAAGGAAAGAATGGTTGTCAGAAATGGATTTATGTTCCATTTTACATAAGTCTTTTAAAAAGATCTTAGGGTAGTTCTTTGTTATGAACAATAAATTAAATGTAGTGCACTATCAGTGTCTTATAAAAGAACGGATTTATATGGGTTTCATTCATTAAGAACGACTAAAATATAAATATGAATATAAATTAATAATTCAAGAAAACATTTTTAACTCAATATTTGCTCTAACACAGTGTCTGCAAGTTGATTTTTTGTAATTCCTAATATTAAAACATTTATTATCTACATGTTTACCATATCACAGTGTCTAAAAGATGAACTTTTTAAATCCTACTACATGTATTTTAATTGCTTGACGGAATTACTGAAGGGCCTAATTGACCGTTTAATTTTAGGAATATAAACCATTACAAAATTCATGAATTAATTAAATTTTTGAAGGATTAAAGGTTCTAAAAAAAAAGTAAGTTATTTATAGCTCAGTCATATTCCGATGAAGTACAAAAATGTATTAAATTTTTAAATGTTTAAAGGTTCTTAATAATTATGTAAACTTTTTCTACCTCATTCGAATTCCGAAGAACTACACCCAATATAATATTTTTAAGAAACAAAATATTTTTAGTGGGTTTCTTTATTTTGAAGAAAGACCAATATAAAAATCTATTTTAGTATATTTCATATTTTTAAATAATTAATTTTTTTGAGTCAAATGGATTTTGTCCATATCGTTATAGAAGGATTCACCTGAGCTATACAATCCAATTATAAATCCTGATGATATACAAAATAGATTTAACGAATTTATCAAGTATATAGAAATCGCACAGATACGAAAATTTAATATATGAGCACTAAATTGAATCCCAAGAAATTGAAAATGATTCTGTGAAGTATTTTGTTTGCATCCCTTTGCTTGTGCAGAGTTCTTCGCCTCCAGAACTCACCAACATAATAGCACGCATGGTGACCCCGCTGCACTTGGCTCCACCGAATCGATCACAAATTTAGCACCTGGCACCCGATGTGCCTCTCCAATTTTGGGGTTAAGACCGAAGATATCCTGTTCACACTGTATCACAACGAGCCAAAGCTTCTCGAACTGGCGTCAGACCGCGAATGATCTGGCCGGAACGGATGGCTCCGTATTTATTTCAACTCTAACCCAAGCTCTGGGTTCTGCCCGAGCCGAGAGCACTGAACCGCGATCCCAGCCCCGGATCATCGTGGCTATTAGAGGTGGTTTTGGTTTTCGGTGGTTGTGCTGATGGCTGTGGTTCGCTGGCACTCGTGGCTAAGGTGTTGGCACCTGGTGAGTTTTTTACATTTTTTTGGACTGGGCTGGGACGTCGATTTGTCACTTGGCCTGCTGCAACACCTTGGTGGCTCACGTTTCATGGTCAGTTTGGCTTTCGGAGAATGACAGGGAGGATGTGCCCGAAAAGTGCCTTGATTGTCTCATCGAGAAGCGGGTTAATTATGCGTCTGTTGCGTAATGCCCAGCAGAACACTCCTGTGAAATTATCGCGGATTATTCCGGCTTCTCGGGCGGTGATTCACTGAGACTTCAGTCAAAGACTCAGCATGAGATTAGCATTTCCACTTCAAAATGGAACAAAACACTTTTCAGTGCTTACATAATCCAAGACCGTGACCATGAAAAGGCTTTCCACCTGAAGACGTTCCCAATTGAGATATCTTTTGGGGTTACCCAGAGACTGTGAATGCCCTTGTCCCTCAACCTTGTTAAAACAAATTTAATAAATATAAATGATTTCATTTATCAGAAATTAAATATAAAGATTATTTCTAAGTGTTATAAGTCATAACTTATGACTTAGATAATAATATAAATGTATATTTAGAAAATGGTTAGGCCAAAACAAATTTTATACAATCAGAGCTGCTATAATTTTATAACCTACCATAAATTTAAATTCAAATATGGGGAAAGTAGTACAAATAAATAGGTAACTTAATTAAATGAAATCATTTTAAGAACCAGAATACTTGGTTGGATGTGCAAACTTAACCCCTACTACAAATCAATTTGCTGTAAAAGAATTTCCGCTATCAAAGCATGACAAATTACCTTACCAAAAAATATATACTCATGGTGGGGGGTTGAGCCGGAATACCACAGGTGGCGCTATGGATCACCTTCTTCGGCAGCCTGCTCACTGAACCCAAGGCAAAGGTCGTTGGCATCGTCCACCAAAATCATAACCAACCCATGAAAAAAACAACAACCAGGCGACAAGTTTAATTAAACGATTTAATTTAGTTTTTACAAAGCGCGCAACAGTCTGGCAGATTTGTTAGGCTCAGTTTGAGATACAGATTCGATATGGTACTCGAAATATATAGTTTCTTGGGCTCTGGAGATTGCATCTAGTTTGCTTCATGGAAGAACAATTTGTGATGTGTGTGGTGTGTACAGTGCGTTTCGTCTTTGTGTGTGGCTCTCTGGAGGGCGCAACAAGATCAACAATTAAGCTAATTCAACGATTCTGCTAAATACGAGTTATTGTCTCAAGTTGTACAAACTTTATAGCCTACAGTATGCGTGTTTGCATGTGTGAAAAAGTGGCAGTGTTCCTTACGATTTGGTTATATGAAAATGTTAATAAAAGCAAGCCAACAGAAACCTTGATATAGGAACGTAACTTAAGTAACTTAAGTAAGAAATATCACAAGTACCTTTATATTCTATCTAAAAAAAAGTCAAAACTAATACGTAGTTGGTGGAAATAAGAAAAAACGAATTTTATGCCTTTTTAAACTCAAAATGCAAACTTGAGCAATGAAATATATGTATAGGTACAAAAAAAGTAGCCTAGATGTTTAAACTATATCACTGCTATTATTTCACACACACTTGAAAGTCCGCCGTAGATAGAAAAGCCAAGCGATTAGGGATACATGGGGGATAGTCGGGTATCACGATAACATCTTGGCCGCATTAGCGGCTGCTATATCATCCCGGAAAGCCAGGAATCCAAGTTGGGCGTGCGAGGCCTCGTTTAAAGCCCTCGATCGTATGCACGCGCGGTACTGATCGGCTGTCAGCGAACTAGAACAGATCTTTAAAATAAAGGAAAAAATATAATACATATAAAATAATTTTAATAACTAAGACAATACCTTGGTGTGCCAGCGATGGAAGATTCCCGGATCGGTGGCCCTGATGATTTTGATCTTAGAGCGGACATACTTTCGGTAGAGCATCACATCCTCGCCGCCCCATCCAACGATCTCCTCCTCGTCGAAGCCTCGGACCTGCAGGAAGTTCGAGCGGTACTGACACGTCATCCCGTAGCCAAAGTCCCGCCAGAATCCCGTGTCCCTTGAGATGACCAGCTGTTCCTCATCGCCAGGCAAAGGTTTACCCTGCAGCGAGTATACCACATGAGGATTGTATAGACTAAAGACCACCGGGTAGTAGACCTTTTGATATAATGATATATAAATACAAACTGTTTCTTTTTTAAGCCTTTCATAGCAAATCCATTTACCTTTTTGCCTGGAGCGGCGTTCCAGCGACAGCGCTCAAGAAATCTGGTGGTGAACATAATGTCAACGTCGCACATGAAGAGTAGTACGTCTTCACCTGAAGGTTGAATATGCTCCGCTCCCAATCTCAAAGCTTTGGCTATAAGTAATATAGACTCGATTAATTACACACATCCTATAGCAAATAATAACTTTACAAAAACACAAATGTAATAAATGTAATAAAGAAGAAACTATAAAAAATCTTTACGGTAGATTATTTTCTTTTGACCAAAGCAAAAATATACATTATTGTTAATTAATAAATAATTAATATTAAGAAATCTTGACTTTCTGAATTTGCGATTATCAATCTAAGGACATATGAACAATGTTCATTGAACATGAATGTACATAAATGTACTTACCCCTGCTAAAAGTCTCATTGAGAGCCAGAAACTGTGTCCTTTCTGACCGTCCTGCCAATCTTTTGGCTTGGTTTAATCCATTTGTACCAAAATACACCACAATAAGTTCCAATCGACGATCTTCGAGCTTGGCAAACATCTGCAGGAAGCTGCGAAAACTGTGTAGACGTCCTGACAAGGGCAGTATCACATGGATAACGGGCGGACTGTGACTTGGATCGGCACTACCATTATTCAAGTGGGATGATAACTCCGATAGCTGTACGGTTTGTAGGGGAGCAAAGGGTCGCATGACTAGGGCCCTCCTCACAGGACTCGCCTGGTGCTTAACACTCTGGAAATACAGTTCGTACTGGGTGCCCGTGGTGGGCTCATTACGATAGATGCCCTCGATAAAGTCATCCAGAGTGTATTTAATGACATCCGAGGGGTATCCTCCGGCAGAGCCAGCACTCTTTGCTCGTATCCTTGCCGAATGGTTCCTATTCAGGCTCTCCAGGGCTTTGTTTACAGCCTCGATGAGATCTCGACGTCTATAGCCAATGGGTTTCTCCACCACCCGCTTGCCCAAACCCAAATCGATGGGATACACCCGCGTGAAGGTGAAGTGATTGTAGGGTATCAGCTCGTACTCATTATTCAGCGGCAATCCATGCAGTATTTCGGCGGCACCCACCTGCTTGCGAATATAACTACTGCAGTCGTAGTGGTGACCCAGTGGAGCGGTTGGTGGACCCACGGTGGTTTCTTGCAACTGCAAACTCCCATTAGATATCTTGGTAGCACTGCGATTACTTTGTAGATACAGAATTTGAGTGCGAAGCCCCAAGACCTCTTGTTTTAGCCGCTCAATTTCCGCCTCTCGTTCACTTAGGGCATAACTAAATCCACTAGATTCACTGGGATTATTGGGTTCCGATTCCCTCGCCGTAATTTCGTCGAATCCACATTTTGTTAGCACTACTATAGAGGCGGCTGTCACCAGGGCGAACAGCAGCAGCAGTCGCAGCAGCAATTTGGAAACCAGCGAGTTATGCATTTTCCATAATTCCTTTAAGGTTTTCTACCTAAAATGGTAATAATTCCATAGAACGATATAGATTTATAAAAGCTTTTGCAATTATCTGAGGCTGTTTTAACTACAGGTTTCACTATATTGTCGCTTAAGTTATAAATAATAATATTAGAGTCTTTAAAATTTGATTTCCTTCGGAATTCCTCAAAAAATCGGTCGAACAATTCTTAAGGGTGCACATTTCTTTGATCTACCGGAATATTAATACACATATCTCCTATAAAAAGATTTAAGGTTCCAAACTAATTAAGCTTTGTGTCAAAAAATATTTTAATGAGCTTTGAAATAATATATGAATATCATATAATCACAGACAATGATGGATCCAAAATTATTTCGTGTAAGCACAGAGCTCAGTTCATCATTTATCATCTACCATCATTTTAAAGGGGATTTTTTATCCTGGTTTTTATTTTTGAATCAAGGCGCCAAGTGTTCTTCCTCTTCATGAACATGAGTCATAATCTTCGGTCTGGCAACGCTTGAAATGTAATGTAATGTTACACATGTAAATAGTTCTACATACATTTTACACGTTTTTTTGAGATACCATTTTCAATGGTTTGAGTCTTCGCTTTAGTGCGGTTCCCTTTTTTTAAGACTTGTGAAGTGTGCAATGGAAAATATCTGTGATCTCTTGCTGGATACTTAATACATTTCCTTTTTCTCTTGTTATTAAACCAGAACTTCTATATTTAAACTAACCTAAATATAACTTATAAATTAAAATTCATTTTTTTGTAATTCAGGATTTTAACTTTTTCCATGCATAGTATCGAAAAAATGAAAACGGTCACACTTTGATCACAAGCTGATATTTATAAAAGAAATTATTGCGTTATTATAACGTAGCCTTTGAAAAGCCGAAATAACCAGCAGTATTCTAGAGGCATATTGTAGTGGTGAGTGCTAGGGCGTTGTTTTTCTGTTTTTGTACCCAAGTAAACAGAGTTGGTTGGCATTTGCGAGCGCAACAAGTTCCTCCATCGCCCAGAAGTAGTGTATGGTGTCGACTTTCGGAACCGAGTGAATCATTCCAACAAGCAGATAAGGTGGTCGCAGCCTTTTGTTTTCTGCAATTTCTAGTTGCTACCTATTTCTGGGTGTGCGTGTGACGAACATTGCATTTTACTTAATAAAACAGCGAATTGGTTCATTTATCCCCCCCGCAGAAACATTATAATGGAGAACAACGAAGCCCCCTCCCCCTCCGGATCCAACAACAATGAGTAAGTGGTGGAATTCCATCTAATAAGAGCACAGAGGCAAGAGAAGTCCGATGAGACTTGCTCCGGATATGACTATTCTTGAACCATTTGGACGGCCTTAATGCAAATATAGGGATCTAAAGATTTACGCTCGCTCTATAAAGACGGCAGCGCAGAATTTCGGAACAGCGTCGCAACGCTGGAAGAAAATCCGAAAACCGGCCGCGTCATAATAGAGATGGGTGCGTGACTTCTTTTTTCGGCACGACACGGCACGCCTAAAAATGAATAAAAAAAAATATAATTCTTCCTTTTTTTCTAAAAACTGAATTTTAGAAAGATGCGTTCTACAAAAATCTTTAATTTTTGTTAGAAGAATGCCATATTAATTCGAGAATTTAAAAAAAAAGGTTTTAAAAAACCTTTTAACCATTTTTAAAGTTGGTTTCTTTTTGATTAGCGCATTGTACTTTAAAAAAATATATCACATTATAGCCGTGTTTTTAGCTAACTTAAGCGAGTTCAAATTAATTTTAATTTATTATGCGAAGAAATCAAAAATTCGTTTCTATTTCACTTTAAGTTATTTTTTAAACCATTGTGTTGAACCAAACCCACAAAATTAACTTCGTACCACTTAAAATGCTTTACCGGAAGAAAGTTTCATTTGAGTTCTCAAACAGAAAAACGGGTGAAGTTTCGTCATGCCACTATTTCCGGTGTTTGCTTTGAACTAGATTAGCTAAACCCTAAAGAAACTAAAGACTCAAATATTCTATTAATTTGTTGTTACTTTTATAATGAAAGATCTTTGTGAAGAAAGAAAGTATTTACAGTATATATGTCGCATAAATCTAAAAGGTAAATTTGTATAGCCACACAAAGACACGCCTCCATAAAACGAAAGTAATAACGATAATATCTTATCGGACAAGGGTATCCCTACATATAAACGATATACGTATGTCCATCAAGACTCTTGCTTTTGTGCTCTGTATCTGAACGATCTATCTGCTGCTCTTCATAAGTGTAAGCATCCCCCACAAAAACACATAATATTGTACAGTTTTCCCATACTTCCGCCGCCGCCGAACGCGAATGACAACCACTACAACCAATTCGGGGATCATCAAATCAGCAACAACAATGCAAACAAGCGACTCCAGCAGACCCAGGCCAAGGTGGACGAGGTGGTGGGGATCATGCGGGTGAATGTGGAGAAGGTCCTGGAGCGGGACCAGAAGCTATCGGAGCTGGGCGAACGGGCGGACCAGCTGGAACAGGGAGCCTCCCAGTTCGAGCAGCAGGCCGGCAAACTGAAGCGCAAGCAATGGTGGGCCAACATGAAGATGATGATCATCATGGGCGTCATCGCCGTCGTGCTGCTAATCATAGTGCTGGGTAAGTTTTCCTATTCTATACCGCTTGAGCTTTGGCTTTCTGGGGCTTTCGGTTGCGGTTTCTTCTCGATCAGGCTAAAGAGAAGTAGTATAGCTAGGTGGCTGGTTTGGTTTTGGTTTTCTTATTTATAATATCGCACTACGACGCCCTGCAAACGCCCTAATCTTGCTCAACTTGTGGTCGAGGTTCTCTACCAACTAATTCATGTGGCCCACAGCTAACCAATCCAATAACAGATACTCGTTCTCATACTGATGACAACCCGTTGTGAATTTCTGTTTACTTGCAGTGTCGCTTTTCAATTGATACAATTAAACACACACAGAAAAAAAACTAAAGCAAAGCCTACAAAAAAAAGCAATACAGTAAGGTTAAGGTTCAGATTGATCGTTAAATATGATTGTGTACGTGTGTACCCGGCTCCTACTATATACACTTACAATTGTATATTATATTTTATAAACGTCTTAAGCTAAGCAACTCTAAAATTCTGAAGGTAATTCTTGTTTCTGTGTCTGTACTAAGTGTTAATTATCATTATATTTGTTTAGTCTATATGTGGGAAGATTAGAACCCCGTTGTTTAAGTGTGTAGATTCTACACTGTAGAAAGAAAAGCATTTGCGTAGTTTAAATTTAAAACAAGTCAAGTATTGGATTCTTAAAAACCCTATGGAAAGGGTTTTTGCAATATTGACACCCAGTTTAAAAAGGTTTAAAGTTTATAGGAAAATTCATATGTTTAGAAATCAAAGCAATTTGAATTTATTTTTCAGTACGGTATTTTATAGTAAGGCAGGCGTTATCAATTATTCATCAAAGAAAACCTTTTTCAAAATGTAATCACAGTATAATTTTCATATACGCTGCGTGTTTAGAATTTGATAAGAAAATATTATTGTGACTCATATATTTTCAAGAAGTAAATATTTATAGGGGGGTTTATAGTTCAATGATTAGGTACATCCTAAACATATGAAATTTTGATTGTAATATAAAGCGAGTTCAAACATCTAACTATGTGTTCTCCCCTTTTAGTGTCCGTTTGGCCAACTAGCAGTGACAGTAGTGGTGGAGGAACTAAGGCCATAGCCACCCAGGCACCGCAGCACTAAAGGCATCCAAGGAGTGAGGTAAACACACGGATACAAAACGGAAAAGGACCAAACAACGAGATCTGGGACGGAAACCTTTGTGGTCTTTCCGAACAGGAGAGGAAAATCAAAATGGAAACCTACTAAAAAATTTCTTCTAGCATATATTCTATTTAAGAATGTAATTATTAAAACTTAATGTTACACCTAACACTTTTATGTATTGTAGCCGAGACCAGAAGTCCCTTTAAATGTGTATTGCATATGTACAATTATATATACGTGTACGTAATCCAATTGAAAATACATAATTCCACATACACTATAACCAGTCCAAGGAAGTCCGCATGACTTTTTACAAAACGTTTCACAGACAAAGCCATTTATTTACATTCAGCGACGATGGTTAAATTGCGATTATCGATTTTCCGGCAATCCGAATCGAATCAAGACGACTGAAGTCGCGCCACCCAGACAAACTTGTCCCATCGACACATCGAGACACTGAGCAACTGAGAGGAGGAAGTCTCGTTCCGCGTAAACAGTCCGTCCCAGCTGTTCCGATAGTCCGCGCATGCGTCCCGCTCACTCGGTTTCTTCTCGATAAAATAGGTACTTGAATATACCCTCAACGTCCGCGTCCCATCCCATCAGCTCCAGAAAAGACGCGGTCGTCCATACGTAGCCCATGTACAGGGCGAAGAAGTTGAGGTAGTACAGCTGACCGATCAGGATATAGTCCCCGTTTGAATCGTAGTGATAGAAATGGGGCCTTCGCAGCGAGGCGGCAAAGATTACCACGAACTGTGGGGCAAGAATTGGATCTACATTGTAATTTGGATTGTAGTGACAGATTAAGATGGATGTATTGTATTATTAAATCATTTTAATACACTATTTAAATTATGTTAGTTTAAAAGTTATTCTTTGGATTTATCTTAAACTGTCAGAGTTTTGAAAACATTAGTGCCATTACATTTTCGAGACGCTTACCACGTTCGAGATCATGGTGTATAGAAGCAGGGTAGGAAACTCAATGGCAACACGCTTCATTTCGGCGCATACTATGATGCCAAAGCAAGTCAGCACGAAAATCCTCTCGCTCCACAGGATCACCTTGTTCCGGGTGGTCTAAGGTGAAACAGGTGAGTGTCGGTGACCACAGTAAATACCTTACCTACGAAGAGGCCTCTTTGGTGCTTGATTGCCTTGTTGCCGTATATTACACTGATGATCATCATGAGGAAGGTGAGGAAGACTGACAGGATGAGGCTTAGGTACGGGGCTCGTTTGGCGGGCTTCATGATCGACATGGTATTCACCTCGTACTGAAGATTGGAATAGAAATATAGATACATACGAACTATACAGGCTTCGACTATCCACTCACCGTCCAGAGGCCCGCCAAAACCCGTACCCACATAGGCTTTTTAACGATGAGGTGGTAGAAGAAACCGTAAAGCTGGATGGACAGGAAGCTGATGAAGAACTGGACCAGGCTGAGGTAGTAGCGTTCCGCCAGAAAGTCCTTTAGGGGCTTGCTGTAGGGCGGGATGATGGATTGGAGGCCCTATCAAAAGGCTGCAGAGGCACGAACGCGAATCACTACTCACATCTCCATGGCCACTGAGACCTGAATCTGCCCGATGACGAGCATAATAATGGTCACCTTGTATGTGGGTCCTATCAAACTCTTCCGGCGCGGTTGGGGGTTTTCACGCAACATATGTACAGACGCTCTAGGTCTGGAACTGTTTCTGGAGTGGCTTGTTTCGATTCACATCTAAATTTATGAAAAAAACATCAAACAATCAGAAAAATAAATGCCAACTGTTCTGACCGCCATCGGGATCGCGATAAGTCGGAATTTACCTTTTGGTTGATTTTGCGGTTCGAATACTCCCTTGCAGCTTGTTAAAAAGGCCTGCAAAGGTAATACTATATGGCGGATATAGTATGTTATGTGAATGGGTAACTGCCATTTTCAATTTTGTGACTTAATATTCTTAATAAGCAATACTGAAAAGGCCTGGATATCTAAGTTCTATAAAGTCCTTTCAGAATATATAGTATTTAAAAACTCCCTCTTTTGGAAAAACAACCTATTTAGAAAAGGTTAGGTTAGGTTAGGTAGGAGTGGTTGGAGACTAAATATTAGTCCCCTCACTTAGGCCACAATGGGCCCCTTGTGATACCACATGATCTCTGAAAGATCCGTTTCCCTAGCTCATGGGTTTACTGCCTTCGCGAAGTATTCTGTTCTTCTTAAGAAACATAGTAGTTTTTGAATGCTTACGTCCTGGATGGCCGCAAGGTTCGGAAGTGTGTAGCTACCTAGGGTTTGAAAGCGCTTTAGGTTATGCGCTGGGCAGAAGCATAGGAGGTGTTCGATGCTCTCCTCTTCGTCTATCTCTTTGCAGCTGCGGCAGAAGTCGTGGTTACTTAGACCCAGCCTTGTCGCATGAGTCCCTATGAGACAGTGGCCCGTGAGGGCATTTAGGAGAGTGGAGATGTCCTCCCTACTACATTGTAGGAGAGTTTTTGTTCTTTTCGTGTTATAGTTTGGCCATGTGAGTCTAGAATTGTGGCATATTGAGATTGAGTTCCAACGGTTGTTGGAAAGAGTATACAATCTCTGCCTGAGAAGGAGCTTGCAGGTAGCCATGGGCATCCCTACCGTGTCCTTATCACGAAGGATATCGGCGGTTGTCCCCTGTCTTGCCAGCTCGTCTGCTATGCAGTTGCCCTCAATGTTGCGGTGCCCAGGCACCCAGATGAGGCTGATTCTCAGATGAGTGGCCATCTCGTTAAGAGATTTGCGGCATTCAGAGATTGTTTTTGAGCTCGTTGTGTAGGAGTCGAGGGCCCTGAGGGCAGCTTGACTATCCGAGAATATGAAGATATCACTGTCTTTATGTACAGACGTGTTCAGGTGGGTAGTGGCTTCCTGAATTGCCATCACTTCCGCTTGGAAAACACTACAGTGGTCTGGTAGGCGGAATGAGACTTTTATGTCTAGTTCGGGGGAGAAGACTCCCCCACCTGTTTGGGAGTTAAACTTGGAGCCGTCAGTGTATATGTTGACGGCGTTTACGAATTGATGTGGGAGGTTGTCCCAGTCTGAACGGGTGGGTATATGAATTTTGTATCTTCTTTCGAAGTTGACTATGGGTGGGACGTAGTCTGTATAACGTGGTAGGGGTGAATGTTTTGATAGGATAATGGAGTGACCCGTGGAGCCCGTTGTCCAAGCCGCTGCTTCACGGAGTCTCAGCGCTGTTGCAGATGCCCAGCTTTTGGCAAGTAGGTCCAGGGGTTGGAGATCGAGAATTGTGTTTAGTGCCTCGGTGGCGGTAGTGCGCAGCGCCCCACTGATGCAGAGCTCTGCGCTCCTTTGGATCTTGTGAAGGATCCGGAGGTTGCAGTTCTTATCTAGAGAAGGCCACCAAACGATGTTTCCGTAGAGGAGAATGGGCCTGACTATTGCAGTATATAGCCAGTGAACTATCATGGGGGAGAAACCCCACTTCCTCCCTATGGCTTTTTTACAAGCGAAGAGGGCTATGGCCGCTTTGCGTGTGCGATCTAGGATGTTATCAGTCCAGAGGAGCTTTTTGTCAAGAATGACACCTAGGTACTTTGCTTGGTTGCTAAGGGTTAGGCGCGTTTGGTGTAGTTTTGGGGGAACTAGAATTGGTACCTTGTACTTCCTTGTAAAGAGAACTAGTTCGGTCTTTTCCGGGTTAACTCCCAGTCCACAGCCAGCCGTCCACCTGGAAAGGGTGGATAGGGCTGTCTCCATTAGATTACAAAGGGTTTGCGGGAACTTGCCCTGCAGTAGGATAACCACGTCATCCGCGTAGGCTACCACTTTTGTGCCCGCCTCTTCTAGAAGTGATAGCAGTTTGTTGACCACCAAAACCCATAGAAGAGGTGAGAGTACGCCCCCTTGTGGGGTTCCTCTACTGACATTCCTGGTCGAGAGGGCCGATCCCATAGTGGAGTGCACTACCCTGCTGGTTAGCATGGTGTGTATGAGTCCCACTATGGGCCGCTCAATGCCCAGTTCAGTCAGAGCACCAGTGATCGCCGTTGGGGTGACGTTGTTGAAGGCGCCTTCTATGTCTAGAAACGCTGCAAGAGAGTATTCCTTATTGTGGAAGCCTCGTTCTATACTGTACACTAGAGAGTGGAGGGCGGTATCGGTTGATCTACCCTTACGGTACGCATGCTGTGCGTCAGAGAGTAGGCTATGGTCGATGGTTAGTCTGATATGGGTGTCAATTAGCCTCTCCAGGGTCTTCAACAAGAAGGAAGAGAGACTGATCGGGCGGAAGTCCTTTGGGTTAGTGTGGGAGGGCTTGCCGGCTTTCGGTATAAAGATTACCTTGACGTCCAGCCACCTTGTTGGAATATGGTTTAGAGCAAGGCAGCCGTGGAAGATGGCTGTCAGCCAGGGAAGGGACATATCTAATGTCCGTTGTAGCTGGGCCGGGAAGAACCCATCTGGGCCAGGTGATTTGAAGGGCTTAAAAGAGTTAACTGCCCACTGAATGCGGTCAGGGTTTGAAATGTTGGCAATACTCTGGTCGTCTAGATTCACCTCTATGTGGAGGTCCTCCACTACCTGGGTATTGTTAGGGAAGTGTGTGTCTAACAGTAGTTCAAGGGTTTCCTGACTGTTTTCCGTCCAGCCATCAGCATTGGTTTTAAGATAGCCAATGGTAGCTGGAGCTTTAGCTAGAATTCTTCTGAGTCTGGATGCCTCCGCAGTAGATTCTATGCTACTGCAGAAGTTAGCCCAGGCTCTTCGTTTTGATATTCTTATTTCCTTTTTGTATAGGCTTAGTTTTGACTGATATAGATTCCAGGAGGATTCGCTATTGTTGTATTTAGCTTTATTGAAGTAAGTTCTACACTCTCTTTTAAGGTTCGCTAGGGTTGGGTTCCACCATGGGGGTTTGTGCTTTGTTTTGACTGTTCTACTTGGGCAAGCCCTTTTTAAGGCCTCACCGCAGATATCAGTAAAAGTGTTAACTAGGCTATCTAATTCTTGACGGTTGCGTATGTGTGTCGGAGGAGCGGGTAGGTTCCTGTTGAGGAGATTTTTATAGTATCCCCAGTTGGTTAATCTTAGATTAGTTATGTTCTCGGCGGGAGGATGTTCTAGACTTATTGTAAATTCTATGTATCGGTGGTCCGAGAATGAGTGTTCGATCCCCACCTTCCACGCGTCTAGCTGGTTAAGTAAGGGATCAGATATTAGAGTAATGTCTAGTACTTCCCTCCTATTTCTAGTGATGAAAGTTGGGTCATTACCTTTGTTGCAGATGAATAGATTTGATTGAAGGAGATAGTCGTAGAGTAACTCACCCCTTTCGTTGGTGTTTGTACTTCCCCATTGTGTGTGGTGTGAGTTAGCGTCCCCACCCAGGATGAGTTCCTTAGATGAGTGAGTGCGTATGAGTTCTTGTGTAGTGGTGTTTGGTAGTGGCCCTTCGTGGTCGTGAGCCAGATAGAATGATGCTATGGTGTGATGGGTGTGTTCGTTTAGCTCCAGTCTGACCGTGGTAAGGTCGCCTTCGCTAAACTGTGGAATAAGAAATGTGTTAAAGTGTGTTTTTGTAAGAATGCAGGTTCTGGTTTTACCCTTGTCCTTGGTGTAAAATAGCTTGTATAGGGGGGTTGATAGGCCACAGATGTTGTTACCAACAATCCATGGCTCTTGAATGAGGACTACGTCTATGTTGCCTGTTGCCAGGCGGGTGAGGAGGGCAGCGGATGCTGCCTTGCTGTGGTGCAGATTAATTTGCAGAAACTGCACCATCTTTGGGACTGGGGTCGGGCTGGGTACCCTCCGCTTCCTCCGCTATGTCCTGGAGGACAGAGCGCCCTGGTCGGGTTGTGTCCTGGGTGCACAGCTGTTTCAGGCTCTCCGTCAGCTCCGAGTCGGTTGACACGTAGCCGGTGAGGGTGGCCTCCTCGTGATCTGGTTCGTCGTCGCTCGGGGGTTCGTACGACGCGCAGGCAGCCAGGTTGTCTGCCGCTGTTTTATCGGTGTCGTAAATACGAAGCTGCACCTTGTCGAACCCGTAGTTTACTCTGTGCTGCTGGGCTGCGAGGGGTTCCAAGCAGGCCTGGTTTAGGAGGATAACCACGCTCATGGTGACTCGCTCGGTTTTCTCCACCTTGACCACCTTCCAACCGTCTGTTGGCAGTTTTGGGTTGAACCTGGTCAGCAGGCTGAGTATAGCCTCTGGTTCCGATGGTTCCGACGGCAGCCACACCCTCGCTCTCGGTCGAGACGGGATGTCCGCAGCCTCACAAACTGCCAGCTTGGCCCCGGGGTAGACCTCGCCGACTTTGTCAATTGCAGCCTTATAGAGTGCTGCCGATCTCTCGTCTTCGCAGGCGATCAACTTTACGTTGCCCTGGTACCACCCTGCATCTGTGCAATCGGGTGGCGGTCCTGGGTTCTCGTCCAGCACTTTCAAGGCCACTGTCGCAAGGGCCCGTCTAACCAGACCCCAATGGTTTCTTGGGATCCTTCCGCCTTCATCGCTCTGGTCGATGACTCCAATGATCTTCCGATCCTTTACCACCTCCGCAAAGGATCTCGACCATGTGCCGCGGTTGGTTACTTTGGCCTTCTTGCTCGCTGGTTGAGCTGACTCCATCGACCTCTCTCGCTTGTTGCTGGTAGTCATAGCGATGTCGAAATCTGGGATAACTGCCTTCGCCCAGGCTATGTCCTCTTGGATTTTCTGGTAATCCAATTTCGAAGTCTGATCCTCACGTATCGGATTGGTGGCCAGCCGTTTGAGGATCCTAGTAGCCTTCTTTCTTTCAAGAGGTCCTGCCTGGTTAGGTGGTACCCTCTTAAACTCCTTTGCCCTGGTACTCACCATGAGACCGGCTTTGGCGCTCCCCTCAGGTTGGAGTGGCTGGTTAGCCACACCTACGCTGGTGGGAGGCTTGGGCTTGTCATTATGGCGAGTTGGGCTTAGCCGGCTGCGTTGTTCGCTGGCCTTGGCAGGGGTCGACGTCACGTGGACTGGGGTAGTCAGAGCCGTGATCTTGCTCTTACTTTCGTCGTTGGTTACGACTTCCGACTTTATAAGAGTGTCGGGCTCTCGTCTTGTGCAGTCTTTTTGTTTGTTAATTGTTAAGTTCTCCATGTTAAATCCCACGAGCTGCGGAGAAAGGACAGGTCCACCCGGGCAGAGATCCGCCGTACCCGGGTAAGGCTGACTTAGAACAGGCGGTCGCCACTTGCCTGAGCTCACCGTTTGAGACTGAGTTATTTGATGACTCGGGCTCCCAGCCAGATTGACTCTCGGCACGGTACGAGTGACACCTTAGTCCAGCCCGGGGTGAGATGAGTTGTGTGGGTGGGAAAGAGGTAGGTTCAAAGAGTGTGGGAAGGGGGGTGTGTGTGAGCTATTTGTCGGAGGCGGCAGCACAAGCGCGACGTCGGTACTGCTACGGCGCAGATACCCGCTGACTGTCCGGGGCTACTTATTTGCGCTTCGTGTTGGGGGCTTGGCGGTGGCCGGGCCGTGTCCAACTTCCACGCTTATTCGTAGCTACCCTGGAGAACCAGGGCGCTCGCTATCCGCAACCTGCGACCCGTTCGGTAGCCTTCAGCTCGGCGCCCTCAGAGCCATCTCACTAGCTCTTTGGCCGAACAAAGAAAAAGTTTTTCTGAAATTCACATAAACGGGAAGGATGCTATAGATAAGATCATGATAAAAATAATATAGATTTAAAAAAAATACAATTATAAACCCTCCTTACCCTTATATCACAATGGCCTTGACTTCTCCATTAAGTTTGAACGTAGTTGCCGTTGGTTTCTGTATTCCTTACCCCGACACAAAACCCGGGCCACGCCCACAACGCCATGGAGGACCGCCGACTGAGGATGCGGGCCTATAGGAAGGCCCGCCGGAAGTTCGCTTGTGTCGTTTATATGGTGACCATAGCCTGGATGGTTCTGGCCTTATTGCAGTGGCTCCTGGTCAGCCTAATGTGAGTGGGAAGATAGTATGAAACTGTTTTTAAAATCATTTAACCTTCCAGCTCAGATATAACGTTGGTCTTCATTAATCTGTACTGGATTAGTGTGATCTTCTTTGCCTTGGCCATGGTTATGGTCACACTGTTCATATTCTTCGAGAAGATCCGCTTCATCATTGGTCTCAACTGGCTGATCACCGTACTGATAGTGAGTATTCCGTGAACAGATTCTGCCTGATCTCCCATTTCGATTCCATCGGCTAGGTGGAGTTCGTGATTATAGGTATATTCGCTCTGGTGGCCCGAACTCTTTGGCCAGATCTTATAATGTGGTTTTTCATCTGCGTGCTACTGGTCTTCCTGTTCGTTCTGCTGGGTTCTATAATACCAGTAAGGACTATGGTGTTTTTTCTTTTGCTTCTTCTTGATATATTTTCTCCAGCACGATCTCACGTTGGACGTTGTAATCCTGTTTGTAATGGCCTTTATTTTTCTGATCGTCACCATCTTCTTTGTCATGATGCACATTCTGATCGCTATGCCCTATTCCTTTCTGGTTTTCCAGATCTTCATCAGCGTTATCGTGCTGTTGGTAAGAAGTTGTAACGTTAATGGTTACTTACCTTACTTATAGGTAGGGTTTAACCTATACTTTTGCCCCCAGTTCGTGATGTACCATGCCCAGACGATCAACGGTGGACGCTTCGCCGAGATGCGACTCAACGATCACCTGCTGGCCTCCCTCATCCTCTTCCATGACTTCATCATCATATTCCTGCTGACCTTCTATGCGCAGATTGTCTACCGGGTCGCATCGAGGGCATCGACAACCACGGGGTCTCCACTTTTTGGCACCTGGGCTGACACGACCCCGATTATTGAGAATATCGATGAAGAATTCGCGACAGAAGAAGACAGCGAAGTTGACGGTGAACCTTCTCCCGAACTATCACCCGACGAAGAAAGCGTTGTGTTCTTCTAATGGATGTGTCTTACATCTCTGGGCATTTACTAATGGTGAGACTAATTGCCCGTCGACTTAAAAACTGTGTCCATTGCCAGGCCAAGGATAATTTCAGGATTCAAGGACCTGTCGTCCGAAAGGTATCAATAAAGCACTTACAATAAAAAACAACATTCTTATAAAATATTAAGCCAGTGATTTTTTCCACTCTTTAATATTGTTTTCATTCGGGAAAGCTGTTTTTAAATCTGAAAAGTGAAATATTTTTAATAAAAATTGCTCAAATAAAAAAAATATTTTATTTTAACAGCTCTTTAAATATGGATAAACCCAGCTAGATATTTTAGTTATCCCCCGCAATAAAACAAATTCACTTCAAGTTTAACTGGAACTTTGAAACTTTAATCACTCTGACATTGACTAAGTGTGGATATATGTAAGCCGGTAAGTTTTGGAGTTTTTTGTTTTTTTTACTTGACCGCTAATCAGTTATCTTACAATTGGATATAGATATGGGCATAAATATTATACGGATATTACGTACGACGATTGATTGCATTATTGATTGTTTGCACAGCAGCGTTGGATGACTTGCCCTTCTCCCCAAACACACTTATGTACAATTTAACTGAGGTTACAAGTGATATACCTTAAAAATGTTGTTAAATATTTGCTTAACAGTAAAATTATATATGAGCTTGCAACTAAAATAATGCTTAGATAAATAATACTAATATAAATAATATACCGCTGGGCTCTTAACTTAAAACCATATTTTCTTAAAGTGCAAATTAAAATTCCAGTTTAGGGTTAAGGGATAGTCTCTAAGAAGAAATTACCTAGAAATGTTCCAATATTTTGTTTATAAACTCCTAATCAAATATAACTAAAGAAGCATATTTATAAGATAATAACAATGATAACGTATGACTAAAGTGACTCCATGGATGAGGTCGCCGAGCAAACGGTGGCATCGGAGTCGCTTTCCCGTTCCCGCAGCCCCTCCTCCCCAATTCCATGGGCGGAGAGCATGGGCTGCGAGGAGGGGGAGGCGAAGGACAGCAGCAGTGGGGTCACAAGTTCATCGAGGCTGCTCAGGGGCGTGGGTGTGGGCGTGGCACCGCCGCTGAGACTGCTGCTCTCGGTCGAGGAGTTGTTGCCCAGAGATTGGGATTGCGAGGAATAGCGCTCCAGGAGCAGCTGGCTGAAGGTCTTGGCCGGCCAGTCGGGATCCTCCGGTGATTCGCGGGTGGGCGTGGCCAGGGGCGTCGGGAGGCGGCAGATGCTGCTGCTGAAGGAGGCGCTGCTCTGGGCCAGACTCTCGAGGGGCTCCAGGAAGCGCTTGCCATGGTAAACGTTGCAGGTGGTGACGGGGGTCAGGAGGCTGTCCACGGACACGGTGACATCGCTTCTGGGCAGGGGCGTGGGCAAGGTCATTCCACACAGGGCAATGGGTCGGAAGAGGTTCGCTGGCGGGGAGTGGGTCAAGGAGTGCGATGTGGAGCTGCAACTGCGACTGGGAGTGGAGAGGGAGTGGTCGTGGTCGTGGTCATGGTCGTTGGTGGGAATATTACTGGGCCTGCACAGAGACAGCAATTCAGATTCTGAAAATTTAACAAAAATAACTGAAATGGTTAGGAGGGACTTCTAAAATCTTGACCAGTGAAGTCTCTTTTAGTAATTTCCATTTATGTCACATTACATTTGAATTTTTAAAAACCTTAAAAAAATCTTGCACTAAAAAAATCTGTTAAAAGTCAGTTATAGACGTCACTGGTCTGAAAACTCTTTGGGGTCTCTCAAACGCAATCTAGCACTGGCGATACATCTAAAGGGACGACTACTCTACCTGGGCTTCATACCTTCCGGCGACTCCTCGTTGTCCTCCTGGATGCTCGCCTGCTTCTCGGTGCTTCCCTGAACCGCCGTGGAAGTGGTGCGGCCATAGGAGTTGGTGGAGTTAGTCCGAGTAGCACCACTGCCTGCGTCCAAGGTCGTCTGCACCACCACGTCCATGTGCGAGTCCAGCGAGAATTGCTTGCCCGACATGAGGATGCCGCGCACTCGACGTCGCATCGATGGGGATTCCTGGTGCTGGAAGATCGTAAGTCCAAGTTCTGGCTGCCTGGCTAACCTACACTGACTTACCGCTATCCGAACACCCGCATAGGTCTTGGCCAGAAACTCATCTGCATCGAAGATGGCTGCAAACGACCCATTAACCACCTTTGGGGAAAGTGGAGAATTCGAGAGCAGAAGACTCGAGCCAAAGGCTTCGTTTTTCTCCTTGGTTTCTGGGGGTTACAAGATGGTATCATAAAAGTTAAGCCCTTGGTTTTCTGCTAAAATAAAAAAATAAAAGCTAAACAAAGCTATATATACTTAAACCCTAAAACCATAAAATCAATAAATTAACTTCGAAATATGTTGTTAGATATTGTTATATACATTGTTCAGAACATGGTTTTCTCATTTTTAAAATAATTATTCAAGTTCCATAAGGAAATCCCAATCATTCTTCCCAACGCCGACTGTCTTATCAAAACGAATGTATTTATAAATAAATATAAACAAAATTATAACTCAAAAATTAAACAATACACTCAAAGCTCAACCGTATATTGGTCAAAACAACGATTTCCGGTGGATCGGGGTGCATAAACAAACTAAAAACATGAACGGAAACGGAAACAGGAACAGGAACGGGAACGGAAGCAGAAACGGTGACTACTTCAGGCGGTAGGACTTGCGTTTACCCTTGAGATAGACGCGGTTGGAGATGGTGATGTTCATCTCCTCCAGCACAATGGAGGCGACCTGCCGTATCTCCATCCAATCCTTGACGATATCATCGAGGGTCGTGTGCGTCGAGGTGATGGTGAACCGGATGACATACTGTCCCTTCAGCGACGAGGGGATGCAGTGCAGATTGCCGCGGTGGTTCAACCTCTTCAGCAGCTTCTCGGTGATCTCGTTATCGCCCCGGATCCGAAAGACCACCAATCCCAGATGCCGCTTGGCGGGCAGCTCGAACCTGTGATCGGCCAGGACGAGGGCCTCGAACTTCTGGGCCAGACGCACGCCCTCGCGGATGTGGCGCTGCAGTCCCTTGATCCCGTAGGATCGCAGGACGAACCACACCTTGAGGGCCCGGAAGCGACGACTCAGCGGGATCTGCCAGTGCATGAAGTCCACCGCCACGCCCGAGTTCTCGTGCTGCAGATACAGGGGCTCCACATTGAAGGTCCTGTGCACCGCGGTGCTGTCGCGCACCCACAGCGCGGTGGCATCGAAGTGCACCATCAGCCACTTGGACGGGTTGAAGGCGATCGAGTCCGCCCGCTCGATGCCGCGCAGCCAGGTGCGGAACTCCGGGCAGATGAAGGCGCTGCCGGCGTACGCCGCGTCCACGTGGAGCCACAGGTGGTGCTCCGCGCAAACCAAACCGATCTGAGGAAAAATGTCAACATTATTTTATCTTGCTTTCAAACTCTATCAAAAATATTATTTTCTTAAAGTAAATTATAATTTTATCTATTCAATACATTTACATTTTCATTGATAATATAAGATATGTATCGATCTTGACATTTTAAGATATTTAAAAATAAGTTTTTTAATGAATGGCAAGCCTATGCGGCGAATAATTATAATTAATAAGACTCGTAAAATATTAAATTCAATAAAAAAAAAGGAACATTGAATACGAAATATATTTACTAACATTTCATGATTTCGTTTGAAAATATGTGAGTCATAATAGAAAATGTAAGATTCAATATATGTTATATTTATTTTAAATATTTAATCTCACTAGGAAAAATAGTTTCAGATTAAGAAAAAAGTTTAAAATCTTGAAAATAGCTAAATTTGTTTAATTTTCTGTTGTTTAAATTTAAGAGACCTGAATGAATGAAAAAAGAATCGAAAAATATTTACTTTCATTTCTTATCAGTGTAAATAGACCATAAAATATTTTGTTTCTAAGGGCTACATTTTCCACACATTCAATTTTTATGTTCCTGTTTTTATGAAACTTTAAATTTGTTATTTAAATATATTTTATCAGTTGCCTTTCCTAAATAATGCAAAAATTTCTAAAAGCCTGCATAATTTTTGAATATCCCTGATAGTATCTTTTTGTGTGGCCAGTTGATTAGGGCCCTTGGAGTTTTTCTTTTCCCCGTAATTACTCCCCAAACACCCACCTCCTCCAGGTTGTCGAAGCTGCAGCTGCCGGTGGTGCCGAGTGTCGCGCAGACCTAAAAATAAACCACCGCAGGACACTTAAATGCTGACATGTATTAATTGGCTCCAGTGGGAGTCAAGAATCGCGAATCTGGGGTCTCCAGTCGGGAATCAAGAATCAGGAATCAGCTGGCTGCAGAAGGCGGGCCAATTAATTTTGACAGACTGCCACTCACCCAGAAGGGGACCAGGCCCTGCTTAATGTCATCCTCGATGGCCTCGCGCAACAGTTTGCCGCGCATGGCCAGGTCCTCATCCGCCTCGATGTACCGCATCCTCACGAGTCCTGCGGAAAAAGAATGGGAGTGTGGCTTAGGCCGTAAGCGGCTTAAAAGCAATGGTCGAGTGAGCCGACCTTAAGAAAGTATGGCTGCAAAGTTGCATCAGCATAAACCAAACTTAATAACAAAAAATATATAGATCTCGGGCAGAAGTCGGTGGTTTAACTGAATTATGAGCTTACGATTCAAAGTTTGGGGAAGATGGGAAGCTTATTAAGTATGGGATAAAAAGTCCCTAAAAGGTATTAAGTACCATAGATCCCAGTATCTAAGGCTATATCTTGGTATTTAAAAGGATAATAGGTACTACCCACTCTGGTATCTAAAAACATACTAAATATATAACCTAGTATTTTAATACTTAATAAGTATATATCTTGGTGTCTAGAAGGATATTATGTAGCTTAAATCCTGGTATCTAAAAAACAGATGTATCTAAATAAAAATATTAATTACTGTATCTAAAAAGTTATTAAGTAGGATATACTCAATAAGTACTATTTATCCTGGTATTTAAAAGGGTATTATGTACTCCATATTCTGTTATCTATAAGGGTATTACGCTGCCTATATCCTGGTTTCAAAAAAGATGATGATAAGCCTTACCCCCTTGTATCTAAAAGGATATTATATACTGAATATATACTGAATCTAAAAAGGCATAAAGTAGTATATAATAAAGAGGTACTATATACCCTGGTATATAAAAACCCTTAAAAGGTTGGTTAGACCCACCAATTAGTGCCGCCTTCTCCACACTGGAGTGCGCCTGATCGGAGCAGTAGGCCACCAGCCGGGCGTTGATCTCCGCATCCTGGTAGCCAGGATGTCGCTCATGGAATCGCTGGATGGCCCGAGTGCGT